TTTTTTCGTAGCCTAGCGCCGAGACTGGTTTTCTCATGTACTTGGGTGGTGCGAGGGAGCCCTTGTGTAAGTGGCCTCCGGCGCTGTTAGTCCCAAGTGACAGAGTGCCCGTGCCAGCTGCTGCAGCTCCCTTCGGGAAGCTCTCCCTTGGAAAGGTGTCCCTGGCCGCGGGCGGCGGAATGGAGTCGCTGTACACGACAGCAGTTTGTTCTGAAGCAATATTCACTGTGCTTCAAAACCAACTTCAATAAAACCTTCCGTGTTTTGTTGGCCTTTCCCCTTTTCACTCACTAGAACACCAGTGCAGTTCGTACAGCTCAGCCTACCTGTGGGTATTGTTTTATCCACGTGGCGTGTTCGACTGGAATTTTAGAGAGATTTTAGGCTTAAATATAATGAAGGTTCAAATACAAAGTTTCCTGCAGAACATTTTTATTAGAAGGACCTAAATTAGCACAGGCTGCTGTAGCAGGGAAATTATTTCAGAAATACAACGTGTAAAGAAAAAAACCCTCACGGGTACATGTGTCACCCAGGCTGATCAAAGTTGTACAGAGAGCAAAATAAGCAGCATTTAGGCTTTACTACTTGAAGCAACACAATAAAGACCAATGAGGGTAGTGGTAAAATTTACTGCGTATCTCAAGCTGTATGTTGTCTCCAAAGCAATTTATTTCATTTCTTCATGTATAACTTTTGTGATGAACAGCAGAGTATGTCTGATGGGTAGAAGAGGGAGCAAGACATGCATATGTCTAGCTGCTCTGCAGAGACCATCCAAACACATGTACAATTCAGGTGTGACAATCATGTCTCCACCTCAAAATGAGGTGTGGCATCTTAGGCAATTTTTTTGCTAAATGGATGTGCTCTAAGTTTCCAGTTCTGACAGACTGATGTAGTATGTACATTGTCACAAAAACTTATTTACAGCCTGAAAAGCTACTGATGCTATGTATAGCACCAGTATGTATTGATGGCATGTATAGGAGTATAGATGCGTCTTAATTCATCAATGTTAATTGAGTAAATATAAATGAGCTTCATACATTCTGTAAACAAGTTTAATTCAAAATTTTTATAAAATACATCTTGTATTTACACACATACCTCATCTAAAAATATGAGTCTGTTGAATGCAAAGTTATTACAAACTATCAGAACCATTGGAGAACTGCTTGTACATATTTCTTGCACAGCATATGCAAAAGGTGACCCCTAGAGATACTAAGGTTAAAAGGTGCAAATCTGCAATCGTGTACAAAATATGTACCATGTTAAGTGCATATCTACATTGCATATTACACATGTGCCAAGTCTGTGGAAAGGAACAGTTAAAACTGCAACTAGAAACTTCACAGAACATTACTACAGAGGAGACTGAGAGAGATGGAGGTTAAATCGAACATTCTTGCATCCTTCCAATACTCGTAGTCATTTCAGATGCACAGGATCCGTTACGGACACCTCAGGAACAACTATGCAAAGAGGAACTCAGCTCAAAGCTGTCTGACAGCCTAGTAACCTAAATGTGTCCTCGCCCTTCACGTTTGTGGGGATGCTAGTTAAACATGTATTCACAGGCTCTGGGTTGAGTCTTATAATACTAGTTTGATATTCCTGTTAAAAAAGGAAATATAAGTCATGGGACACAAAAGAAGAGGTAATACCAGATTATCATGCAGGATTCCAAAGCTAATACACATGTTCTTAATATACTGTAACTAGCTTTTTCCTTTCTTTCTTTAGAATGTGGTATGAATGCTCTCTAATCACTTGTAGGTAAGTAAGCTGCTGGTCTAAATTGATGAAGTATGACCCTGCAGTAATTCCACCAGAACTTCAGCAGAAGTCAAAAATCAGTGAAAAGTCAATCAGTCTATCAGTTTTTCTCTTTTTATGTATTACGAGCCAGAGTATTATGCTACAATTTATGTCCAGCATTAACTTCAAGTAGGTCTGTATAAAATCAACACAAGCATCAGCCAGGAAAACAGACTGAGAAAGCTAAAGGTTTGTGGGAGAGTTGGAATTTAATTATGTATCTTGCATCAGTAATGAGTGGTAAAAATAAGTTACCAAAACGGCAAGTTACACAGTCTAAAAAACTGAAAAACTACTTCTGATATGAAAATATGTCCATCAGGGATCAAAGACAGCCCTTGCTATTATCTTGTCATGGCTGATTTTTATTTGCAGCATTAACAAAAAAAAAAGGGGAGGGAGCTTGTGGGATGGGAAATGCTTTTTTCTGTTGCCAAAAAATATTAAGAAACTTAAGATCTATTTAGTGATACTAAATACTGAAGATTGCAAGTGCCTACATTAGTACCATGCAAAGTGAACTTTGGTGGACTTCCCTTGTGAAGAAATATTACCATAAGGACCATTACATAAGCAATCAACACAGTACACAGGAAATATTTAACATGTCATCACATTATTACATAATCCTTGGAGAGTCAAAATTAGCAAGATTTGTAACTGTTACTAAGGCTGTAATTCTGCCTTTTGTAGTGGAGGGAGAATCTGACCTTACAAATCTTTCTTGTTTCTCTTTACAAGGGATTAATAGTATGGATGGATGTGTTCTTAATACCATGCTATTAAAAGCAAAACAGAGCAAGATGTTGTAAAACATAGTTAGGGAAGCATTACTTTTATTTTGTCATCATAAAATAACATCGTTTGAAGATCACACAAATTTGATAGATCATCTTCTTTCTCCAACATTAAGCCAGCACTAGAGATGAGAAAGGTGTTCACCCATTTCTCTGTAAATTTATACTTTTAAGTAAAATAATTTGAATCTCTAAATATGCATTTTAATTAATTATGTCGCAGAGTAAATATCTTGCTCCTTTGGTCAGAGATAGTAAATGAAGACTTCAAATACTTGTATCTTCAGTTTTTAAAAACCCAATATACATCCTTAACCAAGGAGTATTTACGGTACACACAAGCCATAGATACAAAATACACAGTATATACATGTTTTGAAAACAAATTGGAATTTATAAAAACTCAATAGCCAAATCAAAGTAATTGAGGCACTAAATTAAAAGTAGTATCTTCTTGTCTTGATCATACAGACTATTCTGTGAACAATCAGGACTGTTTCATAAATATATATTATCTACAGAATTTGCTGTGCCAAAAAAAAGCCAGCTGTGTTTAAGCTCAAAAGAAAAATTGCACTTTGAGATTCTTACAGTTAATTCATTAACTCGTTTTTTTCTCCTCGAATATAGTAATCTGGTCCTAGTGCTTTTGGCACAGGTACTGAGTTGTGGTTTTGCTATGCTTTGTTATAAAACACAAGGATCTTTTATTTTGTTCATTAAAATCTGAAGAGTCTTAAACAAACCTAGAACTTTGATACAAATCTATATAGCTACAATTGCTTCATTAAATAATATACACAAATATGCTCTTGGATCTTAAAACATCTTGACAACTGGATACAAAACAGTCACTTGTATTACTTCCAGCCTCCTTATCTTACGCATCATCAGTCTGCAAGTGACTAAAATACGACTTCTGGCCACATCTTGCACTAGATCACACCCCAGTGTACAAGGACAGAAAATAAATGTATAATAAAAAGATTGGATAAATTAGAAGGGGTTTCTTGGTCTTGAATTCTTCTCCAACTAGTAATGATGCAGCACTGTATGCAGCCCAAAAGACTCCAAACAACTGAAAAAGAAGATGAACAGTCTTAGCTGACACCACAAGAAAGTCTCGCCAAATACCACGATAAAAATCAGCTCTTCTCTCAACAGAATTAAAAAGAAACCCTCCAAAAGAGAATTTTGGGGTGAAGAACTCCACAGGTGCACACACACACAAAAAGAATATACTAGGTATTTTCATGTAAGTTTAAAGAAATATTTCATTCATGAGCATTCATTTGAGACACTTACTGAAGTGAGCAGCTAAAGATCTACACTAAGTTTTCTCTAATGCAAGACAAACACCACAAAGCAACCCATACCTTACATACACCAATAATTTGAAACCTCCTGGATTCACTTTCTTTCTACCTCTACCCCTTTAAGCAAAAGAGTTACTATACTTAACCTTTCCTCCTGCCATATAGACCAGAGAGTTAAATTAACATTTTTTGTTTCAGGATTCATTTGGCTCAAACTTTTCTTTACTTACGGTGTCCCTGTCTCAAAGTAACTGACCCTCACATTCCTGTTCCTTTCAGGTGCAGTGAGACGCCTGCCAAAATACAACCTGTATCAAAAACTATACTGTGTACTAAGTTAAGGAAGAATCAGCTTAAAAGAGTGGTAGAAATTAACATTGCCTATGGATACCCACTATGTCCGTCCTGGTCAGTGACCTTGACTCAAACCTCAAACCAACAAGATTAGAGCAAGAAGTAATCAGATATTATTATCCTCTAGCAGCACCTTGAATATTAATAAGAAAGGAAAAACACTTCAAACTGAGTGACATACAAAACCACTATAACCTTCTGCAAAACACAAGATCAACAAAGGCAGACAGAACAGAATCCCAGCACAGAACTTCTTCCATGGTTCTGTCAGAGGAGCTGAAGCCCCTTGAGGGATCACGTGGCCCATTCAACTGCTACTGTAAAACAAAACCACAAGAAAAAAACCCAAACCACCACCAAATTGCATGGGATTGCATACTTCTGGTTTTGCTGCCTAACCCAGGGCTGCAGAGATGGACACGAAGGACAATCAAGATCATGACTGAATTCCTTAAGATATGTTAGGAAAACTGCAATTAAAATAATCCAGGTGCACTGCTTGAGTAGTTTACTTTGCTGATTGCAACTGGAAAAGAACCGGCTGGAATTTCCTCATTTCACTTTAAGTTCCCCAGCTTCAGGGCTGTGCAGTTTTTCCCCAAGCACAGAGCTCTCAAGCCATAAGAAGGAGTACTTGCCACAGCTTAAGTAGTTTGGGCCATATGGGGCTTGTCCTGCATTTTCACACGAATGGTGCAAAGGTAAGAACCTTGCGCAGATTTGCCCTGAAGTTAATGTAAGGCTGTTAGAACTAATCAAGTAACAGAGGTTTCATTAACATACATTTATTTTCAAGGTAGATATTGGTTAACTGGCAAGTTAATGATTTACCTTCTCACTCTTAAAAGTAATTGCAAGTTATCAAATGACAAACACAGCAATTTGGTTATTTATCCTACGTTTTAGTTGTACTTCAATTATACTGTTTACCAGCAAGCTAAAAGGACATAAATAATCAAATCAACAGAACAAACCCCAAAAACCATACAGCTTAGGTAGTAACAGAATTTTCTCAGTTAATCTTCCCAGAAGTTCAGCAATAACTTCAAAGGCTACCTAAAGGGGTTTTAAGAAGTACTGGAAGTGTTCAAGAATGCTACGTAGTTCTGGGATCTATCAGGGAAAGTTGATAGTTTTATAAAAGGTGTCCAGCAGCAGGTGGTATCAGGCAAGTTATTCTTTGTACCATACATTCTACACCTGTAAAATCAGAACAATACTTACCTTCTCTGCAAAGGGTACTGAGAGCTTTGTACTGCTACCAGTATGGGAAGGTCTCAGAACAATGACTAACGTCATATTCATGCTGCAGCAACTAAAAATATACTGGATGATGGGGGAAGGGATAGAACAGCTAATTCTCAGATTCTTCATTCTGAGGTTTAATTATGCATCCTCTTCTCAAAATTATAATCCTATTTTTTAATGCAACTATTACAGCACAGCAATATACTTAAATATAAGCTAACCTAGTAACAACAGGTGTTGTTATAGCAACAGCACTCTATGTCCCCAAGCACTCAAAAGCAGCATTTAAGACAGAAATCACTTTCCATCGTGCCAAACAAAAGGATCACAGAGCTCACGTCTGTAGTTCTCAATATTCTGACACATCATTACATTGTCCTGAAGAGATTAATACTCGAAGTGTTAGGAAAATGACTTAGAAGTAACTGTAAACATTTCTCTATAGATGATACGAACTTACTTTTATTAGGGTAGAAACAACTTCAAATGATCCAACCACCAGAAGTACAGGTGCTATGACAATGAGGGGTAGCAGGGAATATCCTATTACACCAAGAACTTGGCCATAAGCAACCTGAAATTTTCAAGCACATAAAACCAATCTCTGTAGTACTCTTTGACACCAAATGCAATTTGATCTTGTTAGAACACTATGAATAGCAATAATAGCTTGTTAGTTATTAACAACATTTCAGCTAAAGAAAGCTTGCTAGTATGAAAATTGGTGTTGTATGCTACACCTTAGAATTATGTAATTAATCAATCGGTTCTCGTTTGTTGTCTTTTTTTTTAAACACTGTAAATGATCACTTTCAAAGGAAGTATTTACACAGGTTAAAATAAATAAATCCATCCACCCTTCACATTTCCATGTTCCACCTTAAACAGTTCTCAACTGCCACTCTCCGAGGAGTGTCCATGTGATATGCAGAAGCACAACTGTAAGAGAGCTCTCAGTGACCAGCTGTAGCCCAGGTTGTCACAAGCAGCAATAATTTTCTGCATTAACATACTCATATCCATTATACCTAAATAAATACATAAAGTAAATGAATGCTTTTAGTGTCAGTACACCTAGAACTTAAATCCCTCTAAGGCACAGAATTCTTCTGATTTCCTGCTTAACTTTATTATGACTATCTTAAACAGAGTTGTTCAAAATATTTCCACAATTATTTTTAACTACAGATCCAAATGTCCACTTTTCCCACACTACAGTTTGAATGCTGCTGGGCCCAGCTAGGCTACTTGGATTTAACAGGAAGAATCGTGGTGAGAAAAGTGACTACCCTGCAAGCATTCTCTTGTGGATGATGATCCTTCCAACTGCACAGCAAACTGTGCACACCTGAACTTTCTCCCCCGTTTATACATTCTGGTAATTTCACATTTTGAGCCACAAACCAGACTGATTTAAGGGCATCTAGATTGTGCTGGTATGTAGAAACACCACGCAGTCACATTCATGAAAGCTTTGTCTTTAAAAACAAGCGTTCACACAAGAAGTCTTTAGCAACTAACAAAAGTAAAGCAAATAACATAGGGAGTCTGCAGGACTAGCGCATCACGAATGCAAGATGCATAGCAAAACTTTAAACATCAAGCATCACCAAATATTTAGTTCTTCATGACACAGTTCAATGCATTTTATGTCGCAGATCCATTTGAAGTTCTGTCCTCCTGTCTGAGGGCCTTGCTCTAAGTCATATTTTTGTTGTTTACACCTGAATTGCTTAGTGACTCAATCTATAAACAGCTCAAGCAGCTATTCCAGCCCTGCTGGTGCAAGCAGCTGGAGGAAGGGATGCAAGCCACAACTTCAATTGGCTTTGCAGTTGAGGAATCCACGCTGGCTTTCATCCCTTAATGGGTTTGAACTGAATCAGAGGATGAAAACAAATACTGGTAGGTGCTTTATCCACCATCATACAACTGCTGTTAGCACCCATTAAAAAAATATACAGATTAGATAAAGGATTGTGCAAGAGCAGTGCAAAGGAAGAGAAAGGATCCGGATTAATCCAATGACCAAAAAATGGAATGCATTTGTCCCTCAAGAATGACCTTCAGTTCTGGATCATAGGAAGCTGCCAGAATTTCTGGGAGTCACAGTACAAATTTCCACACTGCTTATCACTTCCAAGTGTACCACCTATTGTGCAGAAAGATTAGCTGACCATCCCTGTATTTCAGATTTTATTTTGGAGGCCGAGAACCTGAAATGTTGACTTCACACTTACCAACTGCATCCATTCTTAGCTGGCTACGAGGTCCAAAGCCAGCACCAAGAGAACACAAACTACTGAAAAATGTAGCCAAGAGCCTTTACATTACCTCCCTCTACACCCTTTTTGCATACTTACTTCGCCTCCCAGAACTCTGGCCAGTAAAAAAATTGTCAAGGATCCAAATATCCAAATAGTTATAATCCAAGAAACAACCTTAAGAGATAAAGAACAGTTAATTTACATTAATGATTTTCATTGTGAGAAAACTCATTTCCATTAATCACTTCCACTGCAGCCAAGGATTTTATTATGCAAAACTGAATTCTGAATTGCAGCAAGAATAGGTTTACCTAAGAGCACAAAGCATTTTGCAAATGAAATTCAGAGGTTACACTTAGAGAATCATATTAATGGTGTATTTGGTGTACATGGAATGCACATGCAACATCTTTGGTAAGTTTCGTAACAGGAGTAGGATGAGTTTAGTTAAAGCTACCCTAAATGTCTTCACATCCCACCTATTACAAAATGTGGGCTCAGTTTTTAAAAGTCAGCTCAACAAATACAAGGAGTTGGAATTCTGCTCTGCACCCATAAAGACACCACTTTACTCCTTACTCAAACTGAGAATGCTCAGAAGATACAGGACTTTAATTCTTAGTGGAACATTAGTTGTGATTACAACTTAATAAACAGCCTAAGACTCCTGGGACCAAGTCTGTCACTCTTTTTTCTTGCTTCTTTCATTGCCCTGCACTTAAACTAAGGAGAAAATCTTAAAATCATTTTCTGTCTTAATGAAACCTTCAAAGCAACTCAGCTATCTTGGAGTTGAGCCACTAGGAGGACCAAAAGTGGAGCTCTCCCTTTTGAAATGCCTTTTTAGAAAGAAACAACAGTACGAGTCCAGTCTCTGTATTCCCAAATGAACAATGACTGAACTTAAAAATTAAGTCGGTACTCAATTCAGTTCTTTGCTTAATTAAAAGTTCCAGATTTCCAGAAGAATTATACAGGGAAAACGAGATAAAAATCACAGCATCACTTACAAAAAATATGTAATGGTTATATGCTATTTGTGAAAATAGCACATGGCCTCCTTTTTACTTCCTGCTTTCCTCCACTGTCTAAAAGAAGAGGACCAGATTGAAGTCTTAGAGCAGGAGTGCTCATCTCTCTCCAGCTTACAGCCCACCGTTCAGTTCATCTAGCCCAGCTGCTGTCAGTCATCCCATTCCTAGCTGCCAGCTTTCCCCCCTCACACATACACAGCACTCTTACATCCATATGGTAGATCCACTGGTCCTAACACCAGACCTTAAGTTCCTGTACAAGGGGTACACAAACTGCAGGAGGTAGTTCATCTGACCCAGGGTCAAGGAATGGTCCTTGCTTTGCCTAGGAAACAGGGAAGTGGTCCACCCCAAAGGCTGTATGATTATACAGTGGTTTAGTCTACTTGATTCAAGCCTCATAGAAAAACCAGATACTGAGAGCGAATTCTCAGGCAGCATTTGGTACACCATATGGAAGCCAGAGGTCGCAGAGGGAATGATTCTATCCCACCATTCACACAAATCCTTGCATAAGCACATTCTGCTAGTTTACATATGGCTTACTGCGCTACTACACTGTATTTAAAATAACTGCAGCCACACATAGAGTCATAAAGGTACCAAAGTAGGACCACCTAGGCTCACACTCAAATTTTTACTGTAAATGATAACACTTCTCTATTGTAATCTGAACATAAAGGAAAAAACTAACAGTGTTTTTGGAGGCAAATTAAATATGCACAATGCCTCTGAACAGCTATTCACCCTGGAGTTCAAAAGGAATTATGCAAGAAGTCTATTGATCAGAGGAAAGTTATTTGATTGTAATTGAGCAGGGAGAACAAAATAGCAAATGGCACTAAGGAAGATTAAATATACCAGATAACAGCAGTGACATAGTATGAATTAAACAGCTTTATTTGTCAGGAAATTAAAATTCCAAACAAATGCTTTTCAGCAACATTTTCAGTAATAAAAAGCAAGTTAACAAAAGGTCAGAATTAAAATGGAAAGATTCAGCAATATGACTATAAACCCATTAGTATCAATCTGGTTCCTCTAGAAATGCCATCTTTCCTTTGTTTCAATGTATAAAAACAAACCTGACATTTCATCATGATTAACTTACCCGTGGGCTATTTAATACATTTCTTACTGCTGCTGTCTTTCTACATATTAATTGAGAAACAGCCTTTGAAATGCTTTGCATTAGTATGTGGAAAAAAGACTGTCTACCTACATAAGAATGCAAATTGCTTAGCAATCACATCTCCAAGTTTAGTTTAGATTTCCTTTTAGGCAGAAGACTTACACCTACCTTAAATTGTCCATATAATGAAATCATTGAGAAGAAGAGGACAACTGCCAGAGGACCCCAAAAGTCTGGATTATCTCTCACTACCTGCCTATTGAACCCAAGAGATGGCATAGGCATCAACACACATCGAATTTTGTAGTAAATATCCTTCAGATCAATGTCAAGTTCTTCCCTGAAATTGTAAAGCAAGAGAACATTACTAGACACCACAGTAATGAAACACAGCATAAAAGATAAGTGCAGAGGCAAACAGCAGGTTTATAGGGCAAGTCTCCTGTCACCCACAAGGCTTCCTGGAGCCATGACTAGCAAAGGCACAGTCTGTCCACAATAAAGCAACACCATACCTTCATCCCACATTCCATAACTAGTGTGACACAGTTAGATATATTTAATTACTCAAAAATAAATTACATGACTGAGAATAGAAAACACGTACAATATACCCAGGCTGGGTTGGATGAGGCTCTGAACAACCTGGTGTAGTGAAAGGTGCCACTCCCATGGCAGGAGAGTTGGAACTAGGTGATCTTTAAAGTCCCTTCCAACCCAAACCATCCACGACTCTTATCCTAACAGTCTGCATTAAGACAGCATGTCTAATTTTCTGACACACAGGAACACATGACACATTCATATCATTGTAACTTCTTAAAAGTCAAAGACATGCATATGCAAAAGTGGAATGTCTGTGTATTCCTATGCCAAGTGGTTTGCCATTAGCACATTTATTATGGGAACATTTTATTTCAATTTCTACAGGAAAAAAACCCATTGCACTCACTAATCCTAAACCATTCAAGACATAATAGGTAAACCTAATTTTTTAAACTAAGATGTGGTTAACTTTCTTCAACAACAGTAGTTTTCAGCAGACCAGTTTAGGCCAACTGTCTAATTTGTCTTGTTTCCAATATGCGTAAAACCAAATAAAAGCCACTAAAACTAGGAGTAAAATCTGCCAACAGATCTTGCTCTTCTGTAACTGCCTTCTCTGCTTCCCTCTACACTCTCTATAAGCAGATACGAATTGACCAGAAGACTCTTCTCCACAGGAGACTCTTAACTGGTACATGTTGCCCTGACTGTCCTAGTGTAATGGGAAGGAACCAGACTTTCCAAGTAAGGGGTAACTCCACTCCTTCTGGAGTGTCTGTGTAGAACCTCAGTCATGACTGAGGAGCTCTGAACAACTGCAAGAGACTTCCAAAAGATATCCTCCTCTACATTTAAGAGCACAGTGAAGAAAAGTGTAGGATCATATCCTAAGTCCATTTATGATGGTTTTGTTCAAGGCTTTTTCCTTAGAAAAGCTGAAGTGAGAAATAAACACAAAGACATGATTCACCACGATTTCTCTTAAAAAAAATAGTAAATACTGCTCAGTGAGTCTCTCAAAGCAATTTCTGGATTCCTCTTACTGAAGCTACTTCAGAACTGGTATTACTAACCGGTGACCAAGTACCAAAATCTGTTCTTTAACCATTGCTGAATCTAAGGAATAGACTAGAAGCATTTATTTTTCTCCATTTAGCAAAAAGGATGAAGCATTCCTATACTTTACTCTGAAGACTGTGTAACACAAATATTTGCTGTCTGGAAATAATTCTTTGTCATTGTCTAGGGTTTCTGACAGTTTCTCCTGTGAATAAACTGTCTTTTGCCTGAAGCTGACAGCTACCTCATCCAAGAATTGATGGTAGGAAACAACTGTCTGGAGTAAGGCTGCCCAGTGAGAAAGGAAAGAAATAATCTCACTTTATTGAACAAAACATTTGCACAGTAGCATTGCATTGGTGAACTTCCCTTAGCTGCCTGCTGTTCTTTAAATCCTTAGAGGATTTAGATTGCAAGATGTCATTACAATACACATTTTCTGGGAATAATCAAAACTGCATAAAAACTGCTACATCAAAGCCAGATTAAGGTCTTCTCTGTTAGATGATTACATTCATCCTGTGTGCCACAAACCAACCATTTCCCTGGCAAGTTCTCCTCACTTCTAGCAATCAGCAGCTTAGAACACTTAGCTGTCTTTCAATCACAAACTCACGGTCTGTGGTGTAAAAAGTTACACAAAAGACAGAACTCGTATGTTGTCACCTCAGTGCACCAGTCTGTTTCTTAACTACCAGTTAGGTTTACAAAACAGACTTATTCACACAAGGAGCTACTTCTGCACACTTTCATTTAAAGTACTTCTCTAGCAGCAGTGTCATTATTAAGCTCTCCACACATCTGTTCTCTCCCTACACTCTCAACTGCATTCTCCAGAGTACTTTCTGTCCCACTCCAATTTTTTAAAGCATCATTATCTTTAATTCACACAGGAAAACACAGACTGAAGAACAAGGACCAAGGCCCAGGCTGCCTGACTCATAGTGTAGCAACCTTTAAGCTACAACCTTAAGCTTTCTTCAGCCAAGCGCATTTCTGTGAACAAGGGATGCAGAGATTTTCAGTTTTAAGGATATTCTTGTCTTTCAACACAAACACCATTTTAACCTACCTTTATAATACGAGATAGCATGAAAGTTTATAAAGTTTGTGCTACTTTGGTTCTAGCATCTCTACTGTAATAACCATGACTCACAATGCTTTTGCCTCAAGAGTAACTGACAGAACTTAGATGTACTTAACAGGAATCTTTCCATGGGATTGTCTTAGCCTCTGATTCTTTGACAGCATTAAGAAACTTGTGACATGAGTGCAAACGACTGTATTCTTTCCATCTCATTCTTTTAAACCATTATAAGATCAACAGATAAAAGCAGAAAAGCCATATGAGCTTTATACTTATGGAGATTAATAAGATTGGATTTTACTTCCTCCTTCCTCCCTCCCGAACAGTGAACAATAAGCCTTTTTCTTACACTAAAAATAAACCCCATAATGAGAAACATAATGTTTTCATTCCTGCACCAGAAAACACTCATTTGTCAAGTAATTTGTCAAACAGAATTCTAGTCACAGCAAAAGGCTGTGGGACAATCAGAGGCTACAAGCTGTTGGCTTTTCCTATGCAGCTAATAAAGATAGATACCCAAAAATAATTACAACATACAGGAGTGGCTTGTTATCTTCTGGGTCATCATCTTCCACTTCCAGAAGCCAGCCATACCCTCTCTGTCTTAGGAATGTAGTCGCAGTAGATTCTTTGATGAATTCTCCTCCAAGATTTAGCTTAACATCTGGAGTTGCTATGGAGCCACTAAGATCTTAGAGAAAAAGGGAGAGAGAAATATAAACCTTTTAATGTCTTGCCAAAAGCCATTTGGTTTCAAAAGTACTTGAAGATAAACAACAGACATATAAAGCCGCAGGTGCTGGTCATCACCATGAAATATTCAAAGTTAGAGAATAAAATGGTACTTGATCAGATACATAATTTGAAAACATAGTTGTGGTTTTAATGCGATGCTAACAATGTTGGGTTAGGACTCCAATTCCCAGGTTTTGGCTTTTAAATGGGACACTCATTTTATGACACAGTGTTATGGTACGACAGAATGGCTTCCATTTGTGCTTCATCATTAAGCATTTAAAGGCACAAAATGAGATAACTAATGAAAGTCTCATCATGCTGTAAATTGTGGATTATTTACCATTTTTTCTGACCATACTCTACCTCTTTTGGAGGCCATTTTTGCATAGTGACATTGTTTCAACCAAAACCACTCTCTGCTTTTCATGTCTAATTTTTCATGAAAGGAAAGCATTTGAAGGTATTCTAATTTGTACCCTGCCTTTAATACAGCTGAAAAGAGAAAGAATACTAGCAGAGATCCTTAGGCTCCAGCCACTAAGAATAAATACATGGAGTTCTCTTCAATATACCCTGATCTTGCTCTGCCACAGTACTGAATAGAAAAAAGAGCAATTTACCAATATTCTGGTTGTGTCGAAATCACCAGCAAGTATTAATTTTATTTGCTCATTTTATTTAGTTATACACAGATGAAAAATACAAAATAGTACCTGAAAATAAATGAAGCACCTTGAAGAAAGAAAAAAAAATGTAAGAGGAGAATAATTATTCCTTTAGGAAACCATGGATTTCCATTCCCTGCTAAAAAGGAAAAATCTAAACAGAAATGTCTAATTTTTTTTTTTTACAAAGCTTATTAAAAATATATTTAGAGACGAAAACTCTCTTCTCATCCAACAACTTTTCACTTCATCCAAGAAAATCTTTATTGCCTTTCCACTGCTGTGTGTTTTACACACATAAAATTTCCTAGGCACAAATTTCCCAAAACACCCAGTCATAGCAAGTACTTCTGAAACACATACTCACAGAGGCAAGTCAGGCCGTATTTTAGACTGCATCTGCAACACCTTCTTTTAAAATGCAGCACAGTTTTATAGAAACAAAACCTGTACAGTGACAGAGCCTCACAGTGTCTTCAGCCAACATGCCTTAAGTGTTCACAGATCACTTGGTATCTCCATTAATTCAACAGAATTCTCCTTCCCAAATCAGCTTGATAGGCCACTCAACCTTAAATTTAAGCTTCACCATAAATGCTTTTCAACCATTTAATAGCTGTGACAGTTAATGATCCATTGATTTGGTTCTTGGACCACCACCAGCACAGGATCCTTGTAAAGATCACAATTAATTTAAAGAAAGTTTCTCTTTGCTCCTCTCAGTATCAGCACACATACACTGTTCTCAGCAGGCTCAAGCAAAGCCTTCCTCTGCTGTTTACAGAGGGAGAAAACAAGAAAAGTGTATTCTTAATGCCTGGGCATCAAGGTAGAGAAAGTCTCAGAAGTCTTCTTGTATCACTGGCAGCCTTTTGTCATTTAGAAATACTTGTTTATGCTACAACACTTCTTTGCAAGTAGGGGTTCTTGCTACTCTGTGCATAAATGTGGCTGCCAAAAGCAGCAAATACAACAGTCCAACCAGCCATTTATTTCTACTTTCTCAGTGACTGTTAACAATCCATTCCGAGGCAGGGAAAATCCTACACAAGTCTTGTTTACCAAGACTCCTCTTAGCAGTAAATGATCAGTGAATTCCTACAACCACTCTTCTGAATTATGAAACCTATTAACATGATCTTGATATAAAGCTACAGAAAACAAGGGGGGAAAAAAATTGGTCACCTCTTCTGTAGGCTGCTTGGAGTGAGCTGGTTACAGGAGGGCAATAGGGTGCTGAACAACCTGCCAACAACTGATGGTTCTGAGGCCTCCTAATGAGAGTCACAGTGTCTTCACTGCTGCTGTCTCAGGCTGAACACCACAGAAACAAAATTGAGATCTCTCAGATGCTTCATTTCAACCAGGCTGGGTTAGATATTAAGAAAGTTTTTCCTGTGAGGGTGGTGAGACACTGGCACAGGTTGCCCAGGGAGGCAGTAGAAGCCCCAGCCCTGGCAGTGTTCAAAGCCAGGCTGGATGAGGCCTTAAGCAAACCGGTCTCGTAGGGAGGTGTCCCTGCCCATGGCAGGGGGTTGGGAATAGATGATCTGTAAGGTCCATTCCAACCCCTAAAATTCTATGATAATACAGGCATTGTGGCACAACAGCTTTCAAACCAGTCTTGCTCTCAATTTTGAAAAGCAGTACTAGAGGTAAAAACCCAGTCTGTTCTTTATACCGTATCTGTCCATGTAACTGAGAACACCTCTCCGACATTCTTTCCCAAAACCAGCTCCTACCTCTCATGAAAATAAGATGGGGAAACAGAACAGGTTTTGCTTTCATTTTTTCCTATGGATCAAGATTTGGGAATCAGAGTGCAATGTGTAGTATTTTAATTTTGAAATATCAAGATGGTTAGTTTTGCTTATGTTTTTCTTTGTTAGGGTAGGTCATGCAGCACTTTGCAAACAGAGCTACAGGCAGGAGTTCACACCTTGCTTGTGTTCATAAAGAACAGGGAGCCAAGTCCAATTCAAAACAATCTACTGGTCAGGTGGCTGTACTGGATTAGGTTCAGCATCGCCCAACAAAGGCTTCCACAGAGAATCCAGAGAGCTTCTGTTCAGAGGTACATGGATCCTTTCCCAAGCCAAGGTGGAGAAGAAAAACAAAACAAACAAACAAAACCCCCCACAGCCAAGATTGTACCTCTTGATTTGTATTTCTCTTCAGAAGGACTGGGAATTTTGCCAAAGAGCAGGTCTCCTACGGTAATTTTTTCACTTCAGCAATTCTTTCCCAGGGTGGGGTACATGAGTAAGGATTTACATGTTTCCCTATTAATGTTACAACAGTAGCTAAATGCATACATCAAAGCAGAATGGCTGTTGTTTACATGAGCAGAGGCTAAAAGATCATTCTCCAGCAATATAAGTTTGCAATATGTTGGCTCCTGTACGCTCCGTTTTGCAGTCTTAGGGCATATCTTCGTGGCATATTGGTACACCACTGCTACGTGTGCAGCAGTCGGGCATCAGGCCACACTTCCCCACCTAAATTACACACAGGGCTCCTCTTCCTCCCTCATGGTTCAAGCTGAAGGAGGGGAAATTTAGGCTAGGTATTAGGAAGTTTTTTCCTGTGAGGGTGGTGAGACACTGGCACAGGTTGCCCAGGGAGGCAGTAGAAGCCCCAACCCTGGCAGTTCAGAGCCAGGTTGGATGAGGCCTTGAGCAAACCGGTCTCGTAGGGAGGTGTCCCTGCCCATGACAGGGGGTTGTGACTAGCTGATCTCTAAGGTCTATTCCAACCCCTAAAATTCTACGATTCTATGACCGTGCTGAAACGAGCCAGGGCACAGACGCCTCGACAGGGCATTACAGCCAAGGCGAGCACACAAGAAGCAGCCGGCGGCAGGCACGGAGCGGGGAGCGGTCAGCGCGGCCGTGCCAGGCCTACC